AAGTCCCAGCACCCACATGGCGACTAACAACTGTCGGTAACTCCAGTTCCAGGGCATCTGATGCCTTCTTCTGACCTCTGTGGGCATTGCATGACATGGGTGCACTTACATATATACAGGCAATACACTCATACATATGAAATATTTTCCCTTTATTTAAAAAATAATCTGTACCTTTTACTGAGAAGTTTTTTCCATTAATTTCCAGAGTATCTACACTTATGTCATGGAACATGGTTATAATTCCTGCTTTAACATGTTTGATAATTCCAGGTCATTTCAATGTTTGAAGACTTTTCTAGATTTTTTTTTTTTTGAGGTTTTTTGAGATTTCACTTGTATTTGCACATCAGATAACTTCATTGTGTCTAAAACTTTATGATTTAAGCTGTGTCGTTTTCTTTGGAGAATGCTGACACTGAGTTTTGGCAAACATGTTTCAGTGGGGTTCAGTACAAGTTTTAATGTATTTTCTGAGCTATAATTTAGATGTCAAATTAGTTTCCAAACTTACGCCGTACTATTTGTGCCACTGTACGACCTGCACAGTGGCTTAAACTATCGTAGGATAGCACACCCCATGCCAGGGCCATGCACATGCAGCTTATGGGTGAGCATGGCCCTGTGTGCAGATGTAAGGATGGCTACAGATCCCCATTCTGTCAGACGCCCTTCTTCATGATCCTGTAGCTACTGTACTTAAGTCCCTGGCTGTCATACATTTCCCACGCCTAGGTGTGCATCAGCAGCAAATGGGTGGGAAAAACATAAATAACGGGAAATTTCACCACTCTTTGGTCCACAAGGACTTAACTTTCATCTCCATCTGAGGCATCTAAGCTGCCATTGCTATCATCACTCCACAAGTGACTGGGGTTTGCATACGATGGCAGAATTCTTTTACTATCTTAGGTCCCTTTTCATCTTCATCTGGCCAGAAAAGACAAAGAATTTCCTGGACTTTAAAAAACCATCGCTCGCTGCTTTGTGCTATGCTAAAAGCTGAGAGGAGAAAAAAAAATTGAAACAGAAACCTCAAGGCTGTACCGTAATCACTAAGGTGCTCTTTCCTTTCCAAACCTGCTTGCTATTATTTGCTGTTTCAGAATTCTCTTTCGCTTTCCCCCCAGGGATTTTAGCTATAGCAAGTAGGAAAGACAGTGCAGTAGGTTCAATCCAACTTCGCTGGAACTTCAACTTCAAAAACTAAAGTTTGAAGAATTCAGGAATGATTTTTTGTGAATCTCAAAAAAATCTGAATGTTACTAAATCATTAGAAAACTGAAATGTAAGAGCAACAGTAAGTTTTGTTGTGTGTTACTTGCTTGTGACTTTTCCTGTAGTTTTGCTTCTCATGCTATCAACATAAAAACACTTCGAGTCTTCTGTTTGAGGAATGATTCATTTGACCTATTTATGAGTACATGCAACTGTCTGGCACTTCCACTACCAACATAAAGATTTCTTAATGTTTCTTTCTATGTGAAATGACTCTAAATGTTAAGGCGTTTAGTTTTGAGAATAAATTGCTTCCTGGCAAAAAGTTTTAATACTTTTTATTTCATAGACTTGTAAGAAATGTTATGTCCAACTTAGAAAATTTAAAATGTCTTATAATAAGAAAACTGACAGCATTATCGCTGACTTTTGTAAAGGAGCACAAGACTGCTTATAGTCATTATCTCCTATAAACCTGCTTTCCAAATTCTCAGAAGTATCATTGTTGGGACAACGAAAGTTATTTTAAAAGCATTTTTTTGTTCTGCCTGTCATTTTAAGGAATTTACTTTCCTATGTTGGAACACTTTATAAAACAGGAGTAACTCCATTTTACATAGTTGTGGCTAGAACTGAGGATACAGTATCTGTGATAGGCTTACTTATCTGTATTAAAGCTTGAAGCATTTGTCCACACCCTCTTCATACCTACTCATTATCAAACCCACTGTCAATATATGTCACTTGTACAATTTTGTGTCCAGGCCTGGCTGGTAAGCCTATTATCTATAGAGGTGCTCTTTTAGAGTTCCCATGTGCTCTCCTTTAAAATGTTACTGACCTCTGTATCAGCTTCTCATCACCATTTTTTTTTTTTTTAAGTTCACAATGGGGCTGGGCATGGTGCATAGGCCTATAATCCCAGCACTTGGGAGGCAAGGCAGAGGCTGATGGATCTTTGTGGGCTCTAGGTCAGCCAAAGCTACTCTGTGAGACCCTGTCTTAACAGGAAACAAAACAAAAACTGAAACCAGAACCATCTTACAATGATAAAATTTGTATTTAGCTGGGTGTGGTGGCACAAGCCTTTAATCCCAGCACTTGGGAGGCAGAGGCAGGCGGATCTCTGTGAGTTCAAGGCCAGCCTGGTCTACAAAGTGAGTTCCAGGACAGCTGGGGCTACAGGGAGAGTCTGTCTCAAAAAGACCGAAAAAAAAAAAAAAGTATTTATATTGATATTATGAGGTTGAACCAAGTCAAAGGCAGAAACAACATAATTTTGAGGGATGCAAAGGGAATTCATGCAATTAACATATATTTCCTGAGACCCAATTACATACTAAGAACTGGGCTGAGATCCAGAAATGAACAACAGTGAAATTCATGAGTTAGACTTTAAGTTCTTTCAGGACAGAGACTTTCTGTTTATCTGAATGTTGCTCTGTATAGCTTTAGTGTCAACTTGACTCACCTGGGTTAAGGGATCCTCAATTGGCAAACTGCCTTCATTGGACTGGACTGTAGCCATGTCTGTGGGGCATCTTCTTGATTGTTGAGTAATGTGGGAAGGGCCAGCCTACTGTGGGTGGTGCCACCACTGGGCAGGTGGACCTGTGTTGCATAAGAAAGCAGGCTGAGCAGGGGCCAGGGGAGCAAGCCAGTAAGCAGTGTTCCTTTTGGCCTGTGCTCTAGCTCCTGCCTCCAGGTTCCTGCCCTGAGTTCCTCCCTTGGGCTCCCTAATGAACTGTGACCTGGGAGATGTAAGACAAATAAATCCTTTCCTCCCCAAGTTGTTAGTGGTCAGAGTGTTTTGTCACAGCAATGGAGAGACAAACTAAGACAGTTGTCCTTAGGAACCCTTCTCTCAGGTAGCAACAGCCAATGGGATGCATGAACAATGCTATGAAAGAAGTATTTAAGCTTCAACCCAATCACAATCACCAGGCAAGCCCTCATCTGTCAGTCAAAACCAACCAAATTCCTGTGTGACCTGTTTAGGCAAACAGCACCATTTTTTGCCAGTATCTATTCAACAAATGTAGAAAATTATGTTACATATTTTACATATTTTAGATGCAAGAGTTGTTAAACTTACTTGCATAATAAATGAAAATGTTAAGTCATCACACATCCTAGGTTGAGCATTCAAATCTGAAACTGTGAGCGCCATCACGGTGCTCAAAGCTTTCAGATGCTAACCCAATAAAATAGTTTAAGATCTGGAAAAATCTCCAAATCTGAAATATTCTGGTCCCAAGCACATGTGGATCAGAACACTCAACCTATGTATCCAGTTATTCTAGAGTTTGTTACTTGCTGGGTGTTATTTCTATGTACAAGTTATTTAAACTATCTTTTCAATTTCTTCAGTGATACAGTGTTGACAGAGACTATTCACTTCTCTGTGAAGATTAAACAGGAAACTGCATAGAAATGAGAAGTGTCTGGTTTGTAAGGTGATTGATGTTAGTTAACAATGTCACAAATATATGAAATAAATGCCCATTTTTCTTTAACAATGTTTTCCTATTCAAAGGATAATAACATTCTTCACAAACTTAATATACTCACAAGAATTTTCAAAGAGAAAAATTATACATAGGACAAAACCAAAATCAGGAAAGCATACAAGGAGATAATTCATAACAGAAGAAAGAAATCAGAAGAAATCAGTACATATGGCAAAATGTTCAACTTCTTAAGTCATTTTAAAAACTCTGGCTAAAGCAGCAGTTATGCACTACTTTATAACTGCCTAATTTGAAAAGGAACAGCTAGTACTGATTAGTTTGTGATCAAATTAGGATACTGTATCAGTGACAGTGTGAATGGATACAACTGTTTTGACTGCAGTTTGCAACATTTTGGGAAACAATACTCAGGTCTGCTATCTGTAAATTCATTGTCTGTAACAGCATTGTATAGTTTGGTCTCTTTTCCCTCCCATAGTACACAGTTAATTTCTCATGAAATTCTTTTAAACCTGTCCCAAGAGTACCAGGTATCTGAGTGCTCATAGAGCATCTCAGATATGTATGGCAAATTATCAGGGCCAGGAAGTACACTCATACATCAGGGAAAAGGTAACATTAGGAAATTAAGAATCAAGTACTGGGAAGAGACATGGAACCAAAATAACATGTTAGACCATGTCAGGGTTTTTAGGATTCAGAGTGTGGAGGGGTTGATGTGGAAATATATCTAATGATAGCAAAACTGCAGATGAGGATTCTTACAGCGTTTGACAGCTCTAGCTCTTGTGTTCTAAAGAAAATTTCACCACTTAGAACTGGAAAAGCAGAAGGCACTCAGGATAACCATCAAGCTTTTGAGTTATTCTGATAGAACAGAGGTTTATTTACCAGACTTTTATAAAAGATATTTTGATTTATTCTGGTGGGTCCTATATTCACCAAAAGGTTACTGATTAGATTATGAGACAGCTGATAAAAATCTTTAAAAAACATTAGAGGGCTGTAAACAAACCCACATAAGCATACTGTGTAAGGTATTTCTTCCCAGGCTTCTAATAAAATACTCAAAAGACTAAAAAAATAAAAAACAAAAAACCCCCTCAAGTTTGCAGAGACCAATTATTATACATATATAAACATGATATTCCAACATCATTGAAATGAGAAGTCTTTTCAAGACCACTTCCCATCTGAGGATTTGGCATTGTATCCCCACAGGACTAACCTCAAATAGCTCATGCACACATAATTGCTTTGTGTTCCCTTTGTTGGTCCGGCTACATGCTTTATAAATCTTCTGTACTCAAATGATTTTATCAGTGAAAGAAAATATATTAATAATGCCTTAGAAAGTAAACTAATTAAAGCTGACTGCAAGCTATTTATCCGATGATATCATCTATGTCTTTGTAGTTTTGTTTTGTGTACAGGATTACCAGTTTGGCATCTCAGGATCTCTAATATACAAAAGATTTGCATAAAAAACTGATGATAACACATATAATCACAACCACAATAATTGAACCATAGTCACACTAGGTAAGAAAGGAATCTGCTCATTTACAACTGATAAAGAGAAAATGTAAGAAATGACATTAATGAAATTATACAAACAAAGCAGATCACAAGTTCTTGAAGCCGTGTCTAAAAAAGCAGGTCCAGGTAAAGACGTGTCTCTGAACATGCAGCCAGTGCTCACTTGGGTCCCTTTGCCTTGGACTTGGCTTCCTTTGGAATTCTTCCGTTTTGACTCTGAGTAAATCTGGCTACTGTAGAAACACCATCCACAAACTTGGTTTTGAAAAGAACATTTGCATTGTTGAACATGCCTTCTTTGAGGGACACAACAATGAACTTAAGAGAAAGGAAGCAAAATACAATGAAAAGGTATTCTTAAAAGAAGTTCACACACTTAGAAAGGGCTTAAGAATGGCCCGAAAGTCATTTTGCTACTTCTTTAAACACTGGCCTCTAAGAAAATGCACATTCTCAAATACCCAGTGGAAACTGTTACGTATTAGGTATCAAAATGAATAGTAACTTTCCATCTTTTGAAGCAGTGAAGGGAAAATTAGGAAACTTGGTTTCCTAATTTTCCCTTCACTGCTTCGTTACCCAAGTTTATTATTTTCTAGAAGCTGACTGTTGAGGGCTTTTGTAATGGCCATCCCTGTTTCCTTCTTAGTTTGAATGTCAGTGAAATAATCATCTCTGTGATATATTAATAAACCAAAGAAGATTGCAAGTACAGCACTACCCCTAGCCCAGATATCATATTCACACATTAAGAAAAAGCACCACTTCAGTGTTACCTATCCCCCAAACTTCCATAGTAAATACACTGTCTATGGTAACCAGGATGAGTGGGGTGCTCAGAACTGACAATGTGTAATTTATGCAACCACATTTGGTGGCTACAGAATCCACAGCAGCAATGTAACAAAAACACACTCTATAGCTTCAAGATTTTTCTATATGTTTTAGCCAAGAGAAATGAAAAACCTCCCATTATGTGCTACATTTTCTGGTACTGTATGTACTTGAAGCAATTTGATTTGATCGAAACCCTTGTGGCAACTACTAGAGAAAACAGATTAACTCTAAAGTCATATTGTCTCTCATGCTAAAACCAATAGTGTTAATGCCTGGTTCTTTCTTTCAAAGAAAGAACATTTTTTTTTTTCTGAACATTTGCATGGCTGGCAAGCACTCTTACCACTGAGCTACAACCCCCACCCATTCTAAACATCTTAACACTGATTACCAATAAAGGGTTGGTTTCGAAAAACAGATACCTACAAGCACTACTAAGACTTTGGGGTGGTCCTCACCTGAGAGTGTGTAAAGTGGGTACGCAGCATCTGTCCAATATTCTGGGTATGAGAAAGATCCAAGGCTGCATCAACCTCGTCCAATATATAAATGGGAGCAGGTTTGAAGAGGAGCATGGACAATATTAATGACAAGGCAACTAGAGACCTCTGTCCACCACTAAGCTCAGTTAGGTTTTCTTTCCAGGTGTTTCCTAAGGCAACCTTGAACTCTAGACCATCCAAAACTGTCTGCCCTTCTGGTGGTGCAAGCATAGCATTGGCACCAGGTAAGAGGGTAGAAAAAATGGACCCAAAGTCTTTGTTCACCTAGATTAAATAAATACATATTAAGGCATCAGAACACGTTCCAACAGTATGTGTAGTATATGTTAGTACGTGGAAGCTGTTTGGCTTGTTTGTCGGCAGGAGACTACAGAAACCCACAATGTCCCTTGTCACCAAACACACACATCCTCCAGGATTTAACAGCCACGTTCCCTAAGGAAAGTCCCATAGTCAAGGGTAGATACACACAATTCACATGTAAATATACTTAGGAAATCTCCTAGAGACATGAAGCATTCCTGAATATGGACCTATCTAAGGAACATGTATTTTAAGGGCAATATCTCAGTCAAAAGGAAGAACACAATGCCAATGTTAACACCTTTCCCTCATCATATTATTACTGAATACTGAGAAAACCGAGGACTAGCGAGTGGCGTGTAAAGTGGGTACGCAGCATCTGTCCAATATTCTGGGTATGAGAAAGATCCAAGGCTGCATCAACCTCGTCCAATATATAAATGGGAGCAGGTTTGAAGAGGAGCATGGACAATATTAATGACAAGGCAACTAGAGACCTGAGAAAGGGAGTGAAGGAAAGCCAGAGCATTTTAGCATTTCTTCCCAAACACCGACACAGATCTGCAATGCCCTGTGTGACAGCCAGTGCAGAGCCATCCGAAAGACAGTCACAGAACCTGAGGCTCCAAAGCTCTCTTTGCAAGGATATAATTTCGTAAGACAATTCCAATACTATCATGGTATATCTGGCATCTGTACTGCAGAAAAGATCATGTTACTTTTAATAAATGATTTTTCCCCATCCCAAATGTTTATTTAGAGGCCAGATAGCAGATAAGGGGGGGAGGGCTATATCCTACATGCATGTAAGTGTACCTTAAATGTTGGACACTATGTAAGACAGCTTGATGATGTCAAGGCCCACTGCTAAACTGAAGGTAGTATCCACTTCAGGGACAATGTAGACCTAATGCTTCTTGGCAGCTTCCCCAAAATCTGTGTTCTTAATGTGGTGAGCCCACTGAGCGCTACTTGGGATCCCCTCTTTGCTTCTGACAGTCAGTAACTGCTACTAGGGAGGAAGCCTGGGAAACCAGGGCTGGCATTGTTTTCTCCTTCAGGTATTCAGAATCCTACATGATCTCATTTTCAAATGTTTAACAAGTTGCTTTTAAATTACTTGTTTTTAGTTTTCTAGTTGTTTATTTTATTTTCTGTAGTTATCAAACTCTGGGAATTGTGTAAGGCATGCAGTCTAACACTGAGCTATATCCCTAGTTCTGATTATTTGGTGTTATTTCTTCTTTATTACCTATTAATTTAATCAAATATTTCAACCAAAATTTATAGCCCCATATATTGGGCTTATTAAATTCTACAAATGTAGCTAAACAAGTCAAAAGTGAAACAGAATTACAAAATAATGAAATGATAAATTACAATAAAATAACCATGAGATTATAAATTACAAAGGGACTACTCACCTCTGTCCACCACTAAGCTCAGTTAGGTTTTCTTTCCAGGTGTTTCCTAAGGCAACCTTGAACTCTAGACCATCCAAAACTGTCTGCCCTTCTGGTGGTGCAAGCATAGCATTGGCACCAGGTAAGAGGGTAGAAAAAATGGACCCAAAGTCTTTGTTCACCTAGATTAAATAAATACATATTAAGGCATCAGAACACGTTCCAACAGTATGTGTAGTATATGTTAGTACGTGGAAGCTGTTTGGCTTGTTTGTCGGCAGGAGACTACAGAAACCCACAATGTCCCTTGTCACCAAACACACACATCCTCCAGGATTTAACAGCCACGTTCCCTAAGGAAAGTCCCATAGTCAAGGGTAGATACACACAATTCACATGTAAATATACTTAGGAAATCTCCTAGAGACATGAAGCATTCCTGAATATGGACCTATCTAAGGAACATGTATTTTAAGGGCAATATCTCAGTCAAAAGGAAGAACACAATGCCAATGTTAACACCTTTCCCTCATCACATTATTACTGAATACTGAGAAAACCGAGGACTAGCGAGTGGCACAGCAAGCATTCAATAAACACTAGCTGCTTCAGAAGAACCCTAGGAATTAGGAAAAAGCAGAATCAGTTTACAAAACAGATTCTCATTTGTACTAAATCTGGGAACCACATGGGAGGAGAGTTCTCTCTTGGACCCAGTATTAACTTTACATTGTGTATAAGTTTCTGCACGCATTAAGAAAAACACAGACAAATGGAAAAGGGTGAAGCAACACTGAAAATGGGCCTTCGAGTGGGGAAAACAGCTACTGAAAGGAACAATTATGCTGCCGTGATTAAAATTCAAGTTCCTATGGGCTAAGTAGAGAAAAGAATGCCCAACTCCATCACTGAGTGAACAGGTTTCTAAGGTACCAAACAAACAGCCCCATAAGGATGTCTGGAATTCTCTAAAAGGACAGACAGATGGAGCAAGGGAAGCAGTAACAACGGTGATGAAGCTTGAGATCCTGAGGCCCACGTCATGAAATAGAACATTACCACCATCATTCTTGTTGAATAAAAGTGCTAAGAATATATGAAACTCATTTACGGCACAATTCTTAAAGACATACAAAGTGATAGCAACAAAAGTCAATTTCAACTTCTGTTTTATGAAGCAATGGAGAATTCCAGTTCCTTCACATTTAGAGTATACTCAGCGAGGAAAACTATTTTATCTTACTTCTTTGGTTTCTTTGATACAACAGACTTAACAGGTATCAAAGTCACAGAACTCTCTTATTATAACAAATGTAAACAGAATGAGCATTTAAGTTATTGTTAATATTATTAAACTACTGTGTGAAAAGTGTTGCAGAGAACCTACAGAATGAATATGTATTCATTCTGATCTGCAATTAGCAATTTATAACAACAAAGAACACATTATCTTGCTATAAGAATGAGGGTGGTGACAGAGCGGCTGCTCAGAAGTGCCTAGTATAACTCTCCCTATAACAAAGGAACAGAAAGAAAGAAGTAGCTTCTTCAGGTAAGTGTTTGAGGCAGAATACAATGCAAAGAAGTTTCAGAATCCTGAAATACACAATGGTTTTATAAAGAGGAGAACTAAGCATGCAGTATTTACTTAACCCATCTTTAAAGATCAGCTCCACACCAAGCACTTTGGCTAGAAGAGAAAGAGAAAGGCAGGAGACCCCTGGTGGTCCCCACTCACATCATGGACATCTGAAGCATCTGCTCAAGGAGAACCTGAGTCCAGTGTGTTGAGCTAATAGGTTACCCTACTGCTACAATGCCCTGGGAAGGGGCTACAAAATATCATACCGTTACTACCAAGGCTCTTGTACTATCTTTAGGCTCTCTCCAAATAGGGTCCTGTGTATCAAGCAGATAAACTGAATACTAGCCAGGAAATCCTGCCTAATCACCCTGAACCCCTCAAAGCATCTGGAGAGTCTAGCTACACAAGCTGAATCCTAGAGGGTCTATGAAGCTATCTATGCAATATCTGGGTCCACTGTTGTGGTCCTCAGAAACTGAAAAGCACCTTACCCAGTACTGAGTACCCTGTGCCGCACAAATCTGGGCCAACCAGAGTGGCCCCATTGCATGTAATGAGGAGAAACTAATGGGTGTCACACCTCTCCTGATGTACCAACTGTGTATGCCTCCAAGAGCACACAAAACCCCCACCCTTACTATTACCCATGGAAACAAACAGATGATCCACATCTGCAGCAGGGCACATTACTCAGAGCCAAAAATTCCACGCCAACCTCAACAGCTTAAGTATCACCCCCAGCTGTCAGAGTAACCCTGCAGCAGAGGACACCGTCCTTGTTAGCTTTCCTCTATTGATGTGATAAAAAAAGACCAAGAGCAACTTGGGGAGGAAAGAGTTCATTTCACCTACAACTCCCAGGTCATAATCTATCACTAAGAGAAGTCAGAAGAGGAACTCAAGGCAGGGGGCTGAAGGTAGGCAGTGAAGCAAAGACCATAGAGGAACACTGCTTACTGTCTTGCTTAGTCACCTTTCTTATATAGCCCAGGTCCACCTGCATAGGGCTGGGCCCTCCTACAATAATTAGCAATTACAAAAATGCCTCATAATCATAGCCACAGGCCAATCAGTTAGAGGGAATTTCTCAGTCGAGGTTCTCTCTTCCTAGGTGCCTCTTGTGCCAAGCTGACAAGAACTAACGAGCACAGCCACTAAGACGCCTATAGACACTGCTGGCACTGGATGCAGCTGAAGAAGCTACACAAACACCAAAGGACTGATGTGCGCTGCTGTCACCAGGATAGTCTTTATTATGAAATCTCCCTAATAAAACTGGTGAAGGCAACTGATCCATCAGATGTACAAATGTCAATGTAGAGACACAAGTACAGAAGAAATTTACCTGATGCCTCCTAAGGAGTTTCTCCTCATTACATGCAATGGGGCCACTCTGGTTGGCCCAGATTTGTGCGGCACAGGGTACTCAGTACTGGGTAAGGTGCTTTTCAGTTTCTGAGGACCACAACAGTGGACCCAGATATTGCATAGATAGCTTTCAAGAGTCCCAAAGAAACCAATACAGTACCAAAGAAATGATTCTTACAAAATTGAATGAGAAGAAAAGAGAAAAATAATACAATGAGGCGGGTATGGTGCTGCATACTTTTAATCCCAGCATATGGGAGGCAGAAGCAGGAGGATCTTTATGAGTTTCAGGGCAACCTTGTCTACAAAGCAAATTCCAGGCCAGCCAGAGCTACATAGTGAGACCACGTCTCAATAAAAATAAATAAATAGAGCAATAAAATTAGGAAGACAATTTATTATAGACATGAGAAATTTAGCTGAGGTGATAGAAACCATAAAAAATAACGAAACAGGAAATCTAGGTGCTGAACACACACATGCACGCACAACACCACTTTCACAAACAAAAAAATTATCCTGAGGAAAATGAACACAGATATATTTAACTTGATACTACAGATCAAATGAACCTAAGAGATAGCTACAGAACATTCTACCCAAAT